TTAATGTGCTCCTTTGCTCGGGACAAAGGTAGCGAGCTGCGCAGAAACTAATTAATGATCCCTCATGGCGCCTTTCCGTGTGCCTATTTGTTACTGAACAAAAGCAGGCAAGATGGCGAGACGGCTGTGCGGGTGGCGGTGTCGTCCGGGGGCCTGCGTTGCTCACCGCGACTAAACTACGGAACTATCTGCACGGATGGAATCCTCCTTGTAAAGCTAATGGTAGCTCAGATGGGGAAGAAATTCATGTGCCATATTTTTAATTCTAGAATGTTTTTTTACGAGAATCCACACTTTCGTCAACGATATACTGCCCTGGTATCTGACAAATTTCTTTGAAACTGAACTGCAAGAAGTAACAAAACTAGTATTTAATACATTTTTGTACCAGTGGACAGAAAGAAGCCAACGGGTGTGTTCTGATACCTTTTTCTTTAGACTTTATCCGTCGTATGTTAAACAATTTGGCACGATCCAGGGCTTGTAAAGTAGGCGCACACCCGGAACTATATCACAAGTATCATGGGACCGCACTTCTTACTGATGGTAACTACACTTGATGGTTTCGGGACGGGAAAGGGGGTTGAGTCGCTTCTAAATAATTCGTCATCAATGTTGTCGGTCGAAGTTAGGTTTCACATCCCGCGGCTATTCTGCCCATCCCTTGAAGGCAATAATAACGAAGCCGATAACGCAGTTTGCTGCGTGCTGCAATGCGGCAACTTCCATCTTTAAAAAAAAATACATATATTGGGAGTTCCATGTAATGTCACAAGCCTACTAAAAAAATAAATAGCTTTCAGAATGTAGAAATTGGTTTTTGATTTGGGGCTTATATTTTACAACTGAAGGAGTATCAGACAGACGAGATATTCGATACGAACACAAGCAGGTAATGAAAATTTAACGACAGTTCGCAACCAGACGTAGCAGCCGAGTGGTTCACACTCCTGCTTCTTATTCGGGAATTCCTCAAGTGTCATTGTTGATGGGCGGGGACAAAAGTTGTATTCGCTAGAGCGTGAAGAACACCAAAAGACACTGAATCCAGAACATTCTTAAAAGAAGCAGTGTTTGGTATCAATACTTCTGACTTCGGCAGTTGATACAGCTACTGCTGCCCTCTTGGTATTTATTTTTAAAGTTTCCTGCGTGGAAATTACTTGTTGAAGCCTCACGTGAGATTTTCGAGACACGCCACTGACAACTTAAGCCGAAAGCGGTTTCTTCGAGACTCCGAGCCCCGGACAGACGGACGGACGACCAGAGAGCGGAGCAGGGAAACGCGAGGAGGGGAGAACAAGGCGCGACGCTCTCCGTCGGTAGCGAGCAATGACAGCTTGATGTAATTCGCAGGCTTCTGCGTTACTGTCCCGCCGCTTGATTGCGGCAGCCATGAATGAAGTGTCATTGTGATACTTAATGTGCTCACGGCGACGGCACACAATTCAAAATGGGAGCGCAGTCAAATGAGGTATGAACGTGAGTCATGACAGAACATAAATATGAGTATTTAAGAGTTAGAATTTATGAATAATTATCGTGGAAATTAGAAAAGCTTTTGTGCTTTTCTTTACCACAGTACTGCAATTGTCTTTATGTAATATTTGTGTTTCCTTTCTAACTAACTAAATGGCTTACCGAACCCGAAGATTCATCACCGAATTAACCAAAGCCCTCCACCGGACCCTGTCCTGGGCCACCAAAATCCATTCTCCTTCAACGCCTATCTCCCATAGATCTCGCCTGAGATTATCCTTCCATCTACGTCTAGGTCTCCTCAGCGGTCTCTTCCCCTCAGGCTTCCCAACCAATATCCGGTGCACACCTCTTGTCCCATCCATGCGCGCTACATGCCCAGCCCATCTCATTCTTCTCGACTTAATCACCCTGACAATATTGGGGGAGGAGTACAGACTTTTAAGCTCATCATTATGCAGTTTTCTCCACGCCCCATCGTGTTCTCTCCTAGGCCCAAATATCCTCCTCAACACCCTGTTCTCAAACACCTGCAATCTGTGTTCCTCCCTCTGAGTGATAGACCATGTTTTGCACCCATACAAAACAACAGGCAAAATTATTGTTTTGTATACTTTAATTTTCAAGTTTTGTGTTTCCTTTCACAAAGAAAATTCCAAGAGTAAACTTTGAATGGTCATCGAACTTCATGTATTTAATCACTCTCATTTGTATGATTCCCCACAGTTGGCGTATTTATCCATCGCCAAGTTCTGCTGTGGGGTCTGTAATGAGTGTTTGGGTTTCTTTCTCTGGGAAAAATCGGTCGACTCGTTAAGCTGATTAGGCACCTAAACTCAGTACTGAGGCTAAGGACGCGTGGAGCCTCAACTCCACTGCCTCAATCAAGTGGCGATAGACAATATACATAAATAGTCCTTCGGGAGTGATCAGTTTTCGGGAAGAAGATAGAAAGGCACTGAAGACACACATTGTTATTTCGAGTTCCGTGTCTCCTGCTTCAATTATCTGGCTCACTTGATCCTTGAAGATGGAGGTGGTATGTTCCTTCAAACGTCCACATGACGTTAGAACCCAGAAGAATAATAGTAACATCTTAACCGCAGTGAGAACCCCCACCCTTACCAGATTGTTTAATTTTGAATAGAAAAACGACACTAAACCGATTTTTAGTTATACAGGTTTTACGTGGAACACAGGTCATTGTTTGAAGTGTACTTACAGGCAGTTTTGCCTTCGGATTCACTCCGGTCCTAAAATGACTTTTTTACTGTACTGGCAGATTGTGTGATTAGTGACGACGGTTGGGATGTTGTGAATATCACGTCACAAATCTTTAGATAAGTAGTTGATTTTTAGATTTTTTTTGCTATTTTCTTCTCATCTCTATGGCCGCGCTCTATAGGACATAGTTATGTCCGTTTAGATAAGAGCTCCCTGGTTTGAATCCCACTCAAGTCTTGGATCTTTTCCTCGTGAAGGTAAAGATCTCGCGACGGAATTCTACCATGTGTCAGAACTGAATAATAATTTTACAGCTAAGCCTAATTCTAAATTGAAACAGGCCACAAGGACTGGTCCGTAAGAGTTGACGATTAGAAAATCTTTGATGGGCTAAGTATACAACACTAAGGAAGGACGGTGATGTATGACGCGCGCGCATACACACACGTACATGGAAGGGAACGAATTTTTTTTTTTTAATAACATTTATGCAGGCACTCATACGTTTATGCTGGTCACGGATAAGCGTGTTTCGTATCCTGTCCCTCTTATTATATATTTGACGATGGGAGAGGTGAAAGACGTTGGTACGTACCGTTGATAATTTGACGAACATCAGAACTCGGGCAAAAGTTGGATAGGTGTCGCTCCCTAGCAACGTCGTTTCACTTTCTTAATTCTGAACAAGATAAAGAAACTAGAAATTCCATTGGAACGAGTCGGCGAACATGAAGTGGTAAAGGCAGATTTTCAGCTCTGCTTAATTTCCCCTGGCAGATGAGCAGCCGTATTCAGAAACTTTTGAACGTTAAGAATGCTATTCCAGCAGACAGTAAGCCCCGGCTACCAAGTTCAGGTACTACCGGGTGATTTAAAAATGTATTCCACAGCCACGCGTAATTTACCAAAAGCCCTTAACTCCAGTTATCGTTTCATGCTTCAGATTCTGTTCTGACGATTTCTGAAATTACTCTGTCCGAATTCCTGAGGTAATTCAGCATCCGGATAACGAACAGATTCTTAAAGGAACTGTAGAATAATTAATATATAAACAGTAGTGCCCCAGAGAAAAACGATTCAGTTTTGATTTGCCACTTGAATTTCCAAAACCTTATAGGCCTGGCCGTAATACAGAAGCTTTATCTATGTAATATCTTTAAAGTTATACATCGAACCGCGTACTTTTCATCTGACCACATCCTTTCGCTTCGATACCAGAGGAGCCAATTTTTAATTCTGTTTGCAAATCTTCGTTTATAAATTTCTCAATTTTCATTTTGAATGTTTCACTTTTGAAGACTCCGTTTCACACGGATTACTACTTCCAAATAGTGATGTAACACCGCCTTCTTACGACCGTACTTGGTCGTTGAGTGCCTAAATATATTTGGAAAATCCCCGACCTGGATATCAACATTGTAACATCGGAAGTAAAAACCCTGGAGTATAGCGCATAGAATGGACCCGGTCTGTTTAGTAGAACGTGCTTCGTCTTTTAGGGCTGACAGCACTTTTCGCCTGCGGATGTGCACTAAAACCGCTCAGCACATTAAGGGCAACAGTATTGAATTAACGACGCGCTTAATTGCTTAATTCTATTTTATGTTTCTTGTAGCACAATTTTGCCACGAGACTTAACTTGCTGAAACGACGCTGCTGTGATTGGGAACGGGGAGTCGCTGTAAACATTGCGGGATAGTTCCAAGGCTCTGCACGCGTGTCTCATACGTAGAATCGTGATGCATTGCTACGAATCTTCAGAAACAGAAATCGGTTCATCCCGTAGTTTTTATATGTAGTTTCTTTAATGACACTTTAAACATCGTCGAATGAGAGGATGTACAAGGAATAGGTCGTGGCCTACTTTGAGGTACTATGCCAAAAATTTGCCTGGAGGGACTGAGGAAAGTGACGAAAGTCCTCAGTCAGGATAGACGATTTCCGGACTCAGATTTCAATCCTGGACGCCCCAAATACGAAACAGGAGTGCTAACCACTCTCTACCCTATGCTCCCCAAAGGCCAAAACTCTCATTGTCAAAAATATGCACTCAAATTGTCAATTGCAATTTGTAGAATTTCAAATTTGATATTTTTAGACCGCTGGTAGCAGTGATTTTTATTGCTGTCAGAAAACAATTCCATGGAGCAGAGTCCTTCACTCAGATAGTTAAGAAATTTGCCTCTTTTAATGAACTGAAGGCTCATTGGTCTGTTACTGAGCCAGATTAATCCAGTCTATTTTAACTGCTTCAGATTTGAAAGCGAGGACACACAAAAACAGACAGCATGATGGTCTCATCAGACAATTTTCCCTTCTTAAGAAAGGATATTAAGCCAAAAGTGGTCTGTGTTTATTCGTTCTCAGGTAACAGACGTTGGTCCTGTAGTTGCTTAATGCAATGATTTTCATATCGTAATTATAGACGAATTTTACAGTCTTCGTTGGCTACAGGCTGTGCTCTCTGTAAGTTAGGTACGGAATCTTTCTGTTCGATAAGTTGATTGAAAAATGCAGCGTCGAGACGAGACGGGGAGGGATGTGAGAACCAGTTTAATTCCACTGCTATAGACGAATCCGGCTTCTGATTGAACGTCGTTCAGTAAACTACCCTGCGAATTCTGGTGGATGATCGATACAAAGACAGGCATGTTGCAGACTCTCGTACATTTTCGAGTTTAATCATGTTCCCCAGGCCCCTTCTAAATGCCCAATACCAGTTTCACCCCCTACAACCACCCATCTGAGCCGACCCTAGGCCTAATTTTTCCCTTGCAAATTCTCTAAGCGTTTCCTTAAAATTGCCTTTGCCCCGTTCTCGACTTACAGTGCTGCATGTATTAAAAATTTAGAACACTGTGCAAGTCGAAAGATGGTTTGGATGATGGTCCGGGTGTTGGTGGGGGGTAAAGGGGGAGTGGAGGTCTGTAATTCTTATGTTTCTAGAGCTAATGGAGAATTCTGTACATCATTGGTTCTCGAACTCTTTAGTCATGATATGAATAAGAGTCTGAAGGCCAGTCGACCTGCACAAATGCAATTTATACGTTTAAAAAATATTTACCAATAAACCTTGATGACATTAATTATTCTAACAAACTGGGCCTTTGCAATTAAACGTAATTTAATTTTTTATACGGTGGTCTAGGGAGTAGAACGCTGGCCTTGTAATCCTGGGGTCTCGGGTTCGATTCCCGGCGGTGCCCGAATTTATAACTTATGTTGGGCAAGGCCGTGGTCTAGGCAACACGGAGTTTTCCTCCGGGAGCTTCCCCGGTTTCTCCGTGGCATCCCAACAATTACTCCATTCACACACAGAAGAAGGCAATGGCAAACCACTTCTGGATCATCTGCCAAGAACGTATATGAACAGGTCCCAGTCCGAGAAAAGGATGGAAGGATCCTGTTCATATGGACCTGTCGTCAGACAGAACACTAAATAAAATATATATTGTTTGGTGAGATGTCAGATTCTCACAACGGCGAATATGAGGATGACTGCCTTCTGGGATGTGGGCGATGTTGAGTCATTGCCCTGATGATGGAGGCAGCAAGCACCTTTGAAAAATCTCTTAATTTCTACCAGACTACACTGTGCAATATCCCAGAAGACAGTCATCTTCGTCTTATTGTATATTTGTGAGGAAATTAATTCAGCATCTTTGTTTTTGGTACATTTTTTCGCGGCAGCCCAAAAAAAGAAACTTCAGGACCCACCCTCCAGCCTCAAGTGTACCACAGTTTACAGTTCTGGATACCGCCGATCGGGGTAGGTGCAGATAAAAAACTCGGATTTGATTTTTATTCAAGATCTTTGTCTCTCGCAGTGCATGATGAGTATTGTGGGCATGACACACAGATGAGCGATGTGGCTCGGATTTACGACCGATGATAAGTCTCCGGCAAGGAACATGGAAGAGGCAGGGTAGCTGCAATTGACTGGCATAATTATTTTCTCGTTGTTTACGCAACTAAAATAGAACAAAGAGAAAGGGCTTTGAGAAATATATGGCTTCAATATATAATGCTTCATAGGTTATTATATATTCTTATGGTTGCTTTTAATCGAAATAATTTCTTTGCCAAAATGAAGTAGGGTTCAATTTTACCAAGTGCCACTGAGATGCCATTTAACATCAAAATCTTTCAAGAATTCCATTGCAAGGAAATGAATGCTCTGGAGTTCTATAACTCAGTTTTGCATAGTTAAGTCTGTAATTTCTTAATCCACCACTCTGAGATATCTTTTATCTCAATACTGTATTAACGTTGAGCCGGGATAACTCAGTCAGTATAGTGACTAGCTACGGGTAGGACGACCGGGGTTCGATCCCCGACGGGGGCAGAGGATTTTTCCTCTAGTCTCTGCGCCCAGACCGGCTCTGTGGCCCACCCAGCCTCCTCTACAATGGATACCGGGGTCCTTTCCCGGGGATAAAGCCGGCCGGGGCATGATGCTGACGACTCACCTCCATCTAGTGCCGAGGTCAAGGAAAAGAGAAGCTATACCTCCACTCACCCCAAACGCCTACATGACGTAAAGTGGGACAAACTTTACTTTTACTGTATTAACGTATTCTATGTAAAATCTAGATGCTCTTTACTGAAAGTTTTTAACAAGTAATTATAAGGTAAGTGATCTGCATAATTTATTGTAAAATTTTTTTGATAAATCTTAAGATAAAGCTGAAATCATTCCTCCAGGGCCTGTCTGTGCAACGAAATTAGACTTGTGTTATCGCTTCAACAGACGTGTTTTTAAGGACCGTTCTCCCTTCAACCAATTCTGCGTGTAACGAAAACCTGTCACGCTCTTGCATTGTTCTGGAAAGAACGCACATATACAGTTTGATATTAAAACGGTTTTCATGATCCCCAATTTAAGCGAATTAAACGTTATTCAGGCAGTAAGAGGCTGTTATAAGAATTATGTCGCATCGCTACTTTCGATCTCCCTTCATGGACGACTGTATAAAATTTGTGTTGGTTGGTGAACACTTTCTTCTGTTTCATTAACAGAACAGATGCATTAGAGCCATGGACCGCAAAAGCTGGGTGTTAAGCTGAGTTTTTGCATAAGAGGATCAATCTTAATTAATTATTTGATCTGTTGTAAAATGTGTTTTCCAGGAATAGACATTAGAATGATGAATTATCATACTCTAGGACTTTTCCAGGATTTCTCCAGAAATTTTCCTGGAATTCTCCAGCACTTCTCCAGGACATTCTCACGTACACCCTATGAACACGATTCAAATTCTCCAGGACAACACCACCCATCGTAAAACAACATTATATAACCTACCCTTAACTAAACCGAACCGAACCGAACTTAACTTAACCTAACCTAAACCAACATAACCTAACCTAACCTAA